TTTTTTTTTTTTTTTTTTTTTAGCGAGGGTGGACATGCTGAAAACCCGGCATTAATGGAGCTATTCAGTATTTTGCCTGAAAAGTCAGCACCCTCGGATGCATGAAAAATTGGGGTAGGGGAAACTAGAATGGCAATAACTTTTAAGATAAACTAACATATAGTTCAATCATTGACCATATAGTCATGATGTTGATGTTGTGGCTTAGAAGTAAGCTACAATGTAAGCATGATTACTCAAACCAAAGGGTCAGGATCACCGGAGGTTCAAAACAATGATGAAATTTAACCTAGTCTCAAATGAGGCCTTTTGACTTAGACATCATACCTGAAATGGAAAAAAAATTATGTATTCTTAAATTTTTGTGTGATCAATTACAGCGCAGTTACCAAGAAAGTTTTTTAAAAGTTAGTATGAACCTGTACTGAAATACATAACCCTTTCAGGTCTCCTTCGACTGAACTGATAAACTTTTGATCAAAAGTTTTTAAATCTTGTTTGCTATGGCAATGTGGAGAATGCCGCATTTAATTCGCATATATAGAAGGTTTGGCAGGCGTGTAGCTAATGTACGGTAGCCTCCCGGGCGTTACGACAAATAGGTGTTTCTATGCAGGTTAGCGTACAATAAAAACACTTTGCAAAGACGTGTAGTTAACCAGAGAAGAGATTTATTTACACGCGCCATCACCGAGTCTCCCGTGTGTCTGTATGATACATGGGTTTGGTTATCTGTGTGGTGATTAGATATCACAGAATCTTGTGACAGTGTGTTGTCCAAGGTGAGGATGTGAGACTATTCCATGTGTGACATGTACGCTTGTTAATTAGGCCTTCTGCTCGCCTGTAACCGTGGGAAGTGACCCGCAGTTATGTCCCCCGCCAGCCAAAAAACGTCTGTCGTGGACTTTCCCCATTTCTAGCACTATTCTACGATAATGTAGCTATAGATGGGTTATTCGGTATAGATTAAGACTTTAATGATCCTGGGAGTAAGCAATGAATAGACGGCTGAAATTGCCATGTGAATTTCCAGCACATAGATTATCATTTATTTACAGTGCTTATAAGAATTAACATCTTTTTTGTGCATCTTTCTTAGTTTCACATGTTTCACTCACCTACATCCAAGGTACTTAATGCGTTCTTGAATCTTTAATTCCTTAATGGACTGATATTGGTAGTACGACGCGAGTGGATCGATAATAACCGGTAACTTCGAGGTTTCATTGATCCTATCTCTGTCTCCTCAGCATGTAGCACATACAGTAACCTGCTTGTGGCACATCCATTTTGACTGACTTCGTAATGGAGAAGAACGTACTCATTTCTATTTGTTAATTAAAAATGTGATTTTCGCAACACCAACGAGTAAGCTGCTACACAGACGGTAGATGGCGCCTAGGCTACAAGCGAGAACGCTAAGCAACGAGAATACGATCGCATACGAGCAACGGCCTGAAATGCTAACACAGGGACCATGATGAGCGTTAACACAGACGAGGACGCTAGCACAGAGGAGAATGAACTACACAACGAGAAGGTCCCGGTTCCTACACACGTGAGAATGCCTACACCAGCGGAGATGCGCTGAGCACAACGACGATGCGCTACACAACGAGAACGCCCTCACAGACTGAGAGAAGTGCCTCACACACGAGCGCGATGCCTACAACAATACGTAGACGCAACTAGCAGCAGACGAGAACCGCATAACACGGGAGTAATGGCGATTTACACAAGCGAGAACTTGCCTTAGACAACGAGAATGCCTACACAACGAGAATGCCTACACAACGAGAAGTAGCCTACACAACGAGAATGCCTTACAACAACGCCTACACAACGAGAACTACGCAACACAGAAACGCCTCACAGAACGAGAATTGCCTACACAATCGAACAGCGCACTCACACAACGAGAATGCCTAACGCAACGAACTGCTACACAACGAGAATGCCTACACAAGAGAACGCCTACACTACGAGAATGCCTACACAACGAGAACGCCTACACACGAAGAACAGCCTCGGAAGAAACTCAACGAGAATGCCTACCCACGAGACTACACAAGAGAACGCCTACAGCACCTAAATTTAACGCAAAAAGTAAGCAGATTGGGTCGCTTTCACAAGGAGCGATCAAGATCGTACTCGTAGGAGAAACCACACTGATGATAAAGTAAACAATGTTAAAAATTTATATTAGATGCAGCAATGATGTCCATTCCAAGAGTTGGACAGATGGCGTTCAGCAGAGAGTTCCATGGTGGAACACCAGACTGTCGAAGGGTACTAACTGAACGCAAGAGGGGATACAGGTTTTTCAAAACAACATCAGTATTGAGTGCTTTTGCAACTATATTAGCAATAGGTAGGGCTCGTAGAACAATCAGAAAAGCAAGAAGAGACTCCTGGCGAGGCTTTGTTACTACACTTAACAGCCACACAAAATACCACAGATTTGGTCCACTATTAGCAAATAAATGGGAAAAACCATCTTTCAAAATCAATAAATCATTCACGAAGGCACAAATTTCGATTCACAAGAGCCATTGCTAATGCACTCGCCAGGCAGTTCTCATACACAAGCAGTTCAGATAATTACCATCCCGCATTCCTGGCCACCAATGAAGCGGCTGAGCTGCAACCAGTACACTTTGCCACAGGAGATGAATTTGATTACAATACAGATCTAACAATGAATGAGCTTGTCCGACCCCAAGACGCCTACAGTGGTTCGTCCTCAAGGCCCCGATGAGATTCGATGTGTGATGATAAGCATCTTAATCATTATGCAATGATTAAGTTCGAATTTTCTAAACTCATGGCACTTCATTCCCATAATGAAGGAGGGGAAAATCACAAATCTGCCATCTACCGCCCAATTGCGTTGCCAAGTTGCTTTTGCAAGGCCATGGAACGAATTGTTAACCGTAGGCTATTGATTTTTTTTTTTTTTTTTTTAATTCCAAGAATTCCCTAGTTGACGAACAGTGCGGTTTCCGAAAATGACGCCAAACTCTCGATCAACTGTAAGACTGGAGTCATATTCATGAGGCATTTACAAAAAAAAAAAAAAAAAAAAAAAAAAAAAAAAAAAAAGTTTTTTGACATAGAAAAGGCCTAAAACTTGACATGGCGATACGGCCAACTCAGAAAACTTTTATGCCTTT